GAAATACAAGAAACAATCTAAATGTCACATGGGAATACAAACAAATAATTATGGAACATCTATATAGTATTTTGCAGCCATAAAAAAATTATTTTTGAAGACCATTCAATGATATGGGATCTTGTTCATGATATAAATCTAGGTACAAAAGTTGCAAAGAAATGAAACACTTGTATAAACACCTTGATGCATGCACATATCGATATTTGTAGGCAAAAAAGACTGAAAACAAATTTACCTACATATTATAGTGGCTATTTCTAGGTGATGGGTTTATAAGTTATTTTCATTTTTCTTCATATTTCTGTAATTGGCAATTTTTTCACAATTAATACTATTAACATAATTCTTTACATACTCAGAAAAATGTATTTTACACCTCAATATTTAGAAATATAATTTAAAAGCTTCGAGTGGCATTATCCATTTTAATAAATGATATAATATCAATATATAAACAAATACAGTCATCCCTATATGCAGGAGATTGGTTCCAGGTGCCCCACCTCTGTGTATACCCACATCTGCACGTACCAAAGTCCCACAATCTGCCCTGCAGAGCCTGCATAAACAAAACCCTCCACAGATGTGGGTTCACATAGTGTGAATACAGTATTTTTGGTCCATGTTTTGTTGAAAAAATTTCCCATGTAAGTGCACTTGCATAGTTCAAACCTGTGTTGTTCAAGGGACAACTGTATATTCTTTGCTTATGAGTATTAAAAAATATCATTTGGCATTCAGTATATGAAAGATTAACAAAATTATTGTCTTATTCCAGTCAAAGACATAAGATTTATTTCAAATTTAAAACAAAATTTATAATTTTATAGTCCATAGTCAATTCAGATTTTTTGAACCTTTAGCCCACCTTGCTAAGCCTTGAGCCTTCTCACACGACTTCCTGGACACAACTCCAACTTGTTTCAACTCCTACTTAGCTAACCTTTTCCTCTTAATCTTTTTCACTGACTCCTCCTCTTCTGCCACCCATAAATGTTCATATTCTTCCCAGTTCTATTCTTTACCTTTTTCTGGACTTGAAATAACTTACATGCTTCAACTCATAAA